TCAGGACAGTCTGTCTTCCTCTAAAAAATTGAACCAGTCAAGTCATCTGGCACCTCCTCATCAAGCATTACGCTTCTAACTAATTCCCCAAAAAAGTTGATCAATGTTACGATGTGCATTACATCATCAGCGAGTTTTGGTCTTCGACATCCTGGTTTTGATCTTCTGTTCTTTTGGTCCACTTCTCTAATTGCTTCTCAAAAAGTTGATTGAGGTTACAATGTGCTTTAAATTCAATTCTGTTTGGAGGTTGTTATTCTTATCATCGACACCCCAAATTAGATCATCTATTCCTTGCAACTCAGCATTCACTTCTCTTGGATCTATCAAATTGTTTGGGCCTTTGATCATATAGCATCATTATCATCTTCTTAAGATGTCAAGCCCTCTTTTCTTTGGCTTGTTTAATGAAATTCCCAGTTTAGTTACCGAAAAAACGTATTGTCCCAATAGATAAGATTTAGGAAGAAGTACGGATTTGTCCAATGGATATTTCTGATTTACACTGCAGAGTTATAAACATTCAAAAGGATCACAACCCACACTCTATACACTAACGTCCGCCCATGAATTGGCAAATATTCCGAGCTAGCCCCTACCCGGCCAGTACTTTGAACCTACAAATTCTGACCCTGGACTGATTGGTCATTCTCCCTAAGTTTACCCACAACTTCTACAATATCAGGCTTATCCTAATGCTCTAATTGCCACTCATTAAGTTGGTCTTTGGTATCATTCCCATTTTCTAAATTTAATTTCGGGTTTTATGCATATTTTGTATTGTTATTTGGTGCGATTAGATTAGACACCACGTAAACAAAAAGGTGAATTTCATTGCAAAAAAATGTCAAAATGGTGTTTTTCTCTAAAAGTGATTCTCACAAAACTTCATGCATCATTGCATCCAGTGTTGCTTGAAACGGTTTGGTGCCATTAGAAACGCTTTCAAAAGATGATTCTGCAACAACACCATCTAAATAGTAATGGCATTTGATGTTCCATTTGGGGAAATTCTGAAATATAATGAATCATGAAGGCACATAAAAAAACTACCAAATGGGATGGTGAATAATGGCATTGATGATGATTATCTAGAAATTAGTGATTTTTGTATTAAAGTTATTATTCAATGACATGTCATCCTTAAAAAAATCGGAATTAGTTGAAAATCAAGAAATCATCAAAAAATGTTATCCCTAAAAAGTACTGATTTGAATAAACGATTTTTGGCTGATTTCCCAGAAATTGGTATAATCAACCAACCAAACAAGAAAAAAATCACTGATTCTACAAATTCTGATTTAGATCCTACATGGCGCCGATTTATGAGAAAATCATCATCGATGCCAAGCATCACCAAAGAACTCGGAAGAAAACTGTAAACGAATGCTAATCCTATTCAATAGAATGAAAACTGTATATCCACGTTCACCCTTTACAGTTTATAAATGATCATGTTAGGGGTATATGAGGATTTTTACCGCCGCAAACTAGCTTGGGGTTAACATTCTTCAGTCTGTTTCTTTCCACAGGGGAGCTTTGTCATAAACTCATAATAGAAAAAAAATTGAAGAATTGTCAAAAAAGAAAAGAAGGAGGAGGCTCAAAAGAGAAACAACTTTCCACATTAACTTCTTGCAACTAGTAAGTTTGGGTGAGCTACCCGTTTATTTGTTGTCTCTCGTTACCATTTGATACATTTTTCCTCTAATGTTATTATTAGCTTCCCAATTTGTTTTATAAATAAATAGATAAAGAAGAGAAGAAATGACTTGGAAGACCAGCACCATACAACTATTTGATTATTTGGTTAATTAAAACTCTTCATTTTCAATTTCTCAGCGACCTTGGATTCAATCTCACAATCAGTTTTCTTGGATTTCTCTTCCTTCAGCACCCCAACTTAAAAATTTGAATATCTCCCATCTGATCCATAATGCTCAATGGAACAGAGACGTCATCAATTCTTTATTTCCTCTTGATGAAGTTTCAAAGGTTTTGAATACCCCAATCTTTCCTTCCACTCATTCGGCTTACTGGATTTGGTTTCAGCACAGCTCAGGGAAATTTACTGTAAAGGAAGAATATAAAAAAAATAAACAAATATCATTCCCAAATATAGTTCCTGGTCTCAATTTCTATTTTAAAAAGCTTTGGAAACTAACTATTGCACCTCAATTTCAACTTTTGCTTTTGAGAGTTCTTAATGACTTCATTCCTATTAAAAATATTATTGTTCAAGAAACCCACCAAAAAACTTGTGTTCTTGTGAAATAGAAGCTGAAACTACTGATCACTTATTCATGACTTGTAGTTATACCCAAACAGTTTTATTTGATAACTCTTGGAACCTTTATTTTCAAACTATATTTCAAGGATCTTGGACTTTATGTATTCAAACCCTCTATAATCAAACTGAGGATTGCTCTCTTTTTATGAATATTTTTAGTTGGGTAGCTACAGCTTCTTATTATATTTGGTATGCCAAGAATGAAAAGTGCTTCAGAAACAGGCTAATTCAACCCATTAATCTCCTGCATCAAATTAACAATTCTTTCTTCCATTCGGATCATCATTCCAATATCAATGCTCCTCCGATTCAACACTCAATGGATAAATTTACACTTACCATATCTAACAATTTGGATCTTATTGTATTTACTGATGCAGGGAAAATCTCAGATTCATTATATACTTATGGTGTTCTTCTCCTGTCAAAAAATTTATCTTGTTTGAAAATTTTAGGAGGTAGAACCAATCAGATCTACTTGGTAATTCAAGCTGAACTTTATGCAATTATGCAGGCTTTGTCAGAACTCTCACACTGGGATATATAGGAAGTTTGTATATATACAGATCCTCAGCAAGTTGTAAAGGCACTCCAGTAGAAAGCAGATCTTCTCTGGTCCTGCCATTGGCTTTTGTCTAGGATCAGATCTCTACTGTCAAAGTTTAGAAATTGTAAATTTGGTTTTATAAATAGAAAGTTTAATACTACCGCCCACAAAGTATCCCAATTAGCTAAGTCTCACTGTCTATCATCTTTTGTATTTTATGATTATCAAGATGGGATACCAAGGGTGGAGGACTCTATTATCTTGGTTTAGTTTAATATAATGAGTACCTTTCAAAAAAACAAAAGAAAAAAAAAAAAAACTACAAATTTCCTATTCAATTTTCCTACCCACTCAGATAGAAATGTGTGGAATAGAGAGCAAAAAAGAGAAACTTTTTCACACAGGACCCATAATTTCTGCCAACCAGTACGAGTGTTCTGACCTAAAATAAAAGAGCTTTATGTCGGCCTCTTGGACGCTGTGGCTATTGAATGATGGGATTCAATGGTCTCATCTGTGGGTTGCTGGCGACTTGGCGTGGTTAAGCATGGATGTCAACACTAGCTCCAGATGTGAAATCCGATTTTCTCAAATGTTATGAACTGTACTTTCAAAAGCGTCCTTATCCATCTCCTTCTCTGACAGGGATGCAAACGGATCGGATTCTAATTTGAGTATATATTTGAATTCGATACTATTAATTTTATATCTGATCTGATATGATAGGATCTTGTAAATATGGATTTGAATTCAAATCCCATGAGGTAGTTGGTTCTTTGGATCAATGATTTGAATTTGAATCCAATGAGGAAGTTGGATTTCTTGATATAATCCAATTTGATTTTTTTATAAAAAATAAATAAATTATTAAAAGAAAAATAAAATATAACAATTTAAATAAAGAAAAACAAAAAAAAAATAAAAGTATATTTTCAACTATTTTGATCATATATACATGTTTTTATAAAAAAAATACATAATATAACAAATTTACAAAAAAATGTAATATAAATAAATAAATAAATAACATATATAATGGACAGGATCTTCTCAAATTAGATAGGGGTGATCCGAATTCCATTCGATTTCTTATTAAATCCTATTACCGGTTCAAAGATCCGAAATGTAGTTATCTGAATCACGAGAATAAGGAATGGATCAGATCCATTTGCACATACTCTCTCTCTCTCCCTCTCCCGATTTGCATTTGCTATGAATTAGATAATAGATAAACTTTTACCCATTGTATATACTAAATAACAATTAGGGGGTTGTTCGATATAGACATATAGTGACTTAATAAAACATGGACGTTTTAATGTATTGAGCTCCCACCTTGGTGTAGTCGAAATCGCACCACACTCTCTAAGGATGTTTTGCACCGTTGTATGGATAACATGGATGCTTTTATCAAAGAAATTTTCTAAAAAGTAACTTATGAATTTATTGGAAAATTTTACATGAATAATTGCATTTAATATGACATAAATTGGTACATAAGATAATAAATTGTGAGATGGCCTAATTCAACTTATACTATAATATGTAGATCAAACTAAGTTATATTTCAACTTAAGTTTATATGGCATTTGTGAGATGAACTTCAACACTATATTTTCGAATGAACCACACTACCCAAACAACCTTTATATGGCATTTGTTCATGACCACGAGGTTTGTATAGTTTCCAAGTTGGGGTAAAAGAAAAATTAGAGATTTGGAGGTAGAGATACTTGCAGAATATTACAAATTAAGGGTTGGTGCCCTCTAAATACATCAAAAAGGTTATGTTATATCTAGAAGATCTCCTTTGGCACAAGTCCCCATGGATTCCATGAAATATTAAAGCGAAAAAAAAAAAAAAGACAAGAGAGAGTACTTGAATTATTAGGGTGAGGATGGTGACTCGGATGGGGATTGCCTTGTCCTCTTTTCCCTGTACAATGACCAAGGCAAAGGTTAACGCAAATTTCAAAGCTGAAAGGTGATAATCTCGAATATCTGGATAAAGCAAAACCCTAACTACTAACTGATTCATTAATGATCCTATTTTCCACTGTGGATCTCAGCATGATAAACAATTCTCTCTGTTCCCCATTAATTAATGTATTTATAATATTATCATGATGGAGTATATTGGCCCCAAGACCCTTCAAACCCCTCTCCTCTATCTTTTTCTTGTTTCCAATTTCGACTTTCAACAATGGGTGAAGGCCCAAAGCCAAATTTTGGTGATCCAATCTTGAGGACAATTCATTCATTTCCTGCCAATGCCACACGACATGATCAATGGGCAGTTATGGATGCTGATGAAGATTTTCATGGCTCTCCCACTACATCCTCCTCAGAAGTTTCAACTGCTTCCATTGCTTCATCTTCTTTAGACTATGCAGAAGATGCCTCTTCCTCGAGTTCACAGTCATCATCAGACTCATCACCTCCGATGCTGAACGAGCCTCTGTATGAATTATCTGAGGTGATGGCCCAACTTCCTATCAGGTGAGTAAATTAACAATCGAGGATGGGTGGTTAATACTTGTATTGATTGAACTTTGAAGCATCAAATGCTATTACTAGTACCGAAACCGATGGAGCTTGTATTGTATTTGCAGGAGAGGACTTTCCAAGCATTACCAAGGCAAGTCTCAATCCTTTTCATCTTTATATGAAGTCAGCTGCATAGAAGATCTCGTTAAAAGAGAAAATCCTCACAGAAAGAAAACGAAGTCATGTGGGTTATTTTATACCAACAAATCTTTCACTCCTAAAGCTTTCATATCAAAGAAGACCTCAAGGACAATTTTATCAAAGAACTCCTTAGGTAAAAGGAATAGCTTCACGGGTAGCTGTAGGGCGCCTCCAGTTCCTGTACAGAGGAACTCGTGATGTGTAATGCTATACTAGAATTGGTTTATGACACAAAATCCTCCCATGAATGGCTCAGTTTGGAAGGAATACAAATACAGATATCTAGAATTCTGGAGTGCAAAACTTGTATTTTGTATTATTTTGTACATATTTATAGTGTATATATTTACATTTGTACTCTTCCCAGACTGAGCCTATTTTTCAGCATCAATCACCGGCAAGGATTAGAATATGGATATGATATGTATCCAGTTACATTTAAATACACTGATATATATAAACATTTTGAAAATTTTAAATGATCTCCTACGTCTTCTTCAACAGTTCAACTCCCTTATTGTTGTAAAATTAAAAAAAAAAAAAAAAATCAGTATTGACTCTATCAATGCTTACCGATACCCATGTTAATCCTTGATCATTAGGTGTAATCATGGTTCAAGCTGTGAAGCAATTAACCATATGCATCTCTTTAGTACGTAACATTTTAGAAATCACAGTAGACCGGGTGTCACCGTCTAGGAAAAGGAAACTGGTTTCTCTATAAATGTCCATCCATGCAGCACAGCACTGGAAACGGTGCGATACGATACTACAAATAAGAACTAGAAAGCGGACGGGAGACAGGAAGCCAGGCACCCAGTGATCCATATTTGAATCGGAAGACTTGAAAATTTTCAGTAAAGGACCCCAAATGTCATCTTACATAAACGTTAGAGAGCACAACCCGCTACAATTTCCATGCTCGTACTTCACAAGTCATTTGGCCCGGGTTTTACTAATTAGTGAAAGCAATTAAAGACAAAATATAGGCATGGCTCAGTTTGGGAAGAGCCCAAATACAAATATGTTGCAGTGCAAGATCTTGTATACAGTATTTCTAAATCTTGTATTTATAATTCTTTCCAAAACTGAGCCATATTGTAGTTTAATGTCAATTACGGAGTTGTAACAACAAACCTTAAGATTGTGTTTGCAATCGGTGTAAATCAAGAATGGTGTAAAAATTTACGCTGGTTCAATTGCATTCGTGTTTGGAAGAAGAGTATAATCATGATTGACGTAAAACTTAATTTCAGTTCAGTTTTGCGTATGCTTGATAATCGATGTAAAACCCTATCAAACATAAGATTTTACATCGATTATTAATATAAATACTACATCAATTTTATTGATGTATAACTTTATACTCTTCACTAAAAGCAGCGGTTCAGTATATCTACATAATTGCAGGTACCCCCATCATTTTTGAAACGGTGCAACAATGCAAATGTCTTAATACTGTTTCAATAATGGGTTTCGACTATAGTACCAGAAATACATGACACCGGAAAAACTTGCAGTCAACCAATTGGTGTCATAAAAGAGATGACCAAAATTCACGGGGTGCTTTGATTGGTCAAAGCTCTTTAGTTACCATATTTTCCGGCATCATATATTTTCCATTTAATAATATTTGTATAGTATTTTAAAGTCATATATAACATATCTTAGTCTACAGTAAAAATAACAAAACTTTGAAAAAGTGCCAACCACCCGTGCACCAGCACCAATAATATATTCCAGAAAGAACATCCTAAAGTACAGACTGTCAACAATTCCTCAAACACAAGCATCACTAAATATTCATCAGTAACCAAAAGAAACTGAATAAGTCTGCCATCACCAAATGAATCTTTTTTTTCTCTCTTTTTTAACTCTGAATCTGATCTAATAGAATCTTTCTTCTCTTTCAACATTGGTGGAGTGACAATTAATTGGAGCTAGAAACCAAAGAAAGCTGTTTCCCTCATTAACAGGGTTTGGGGATGCCCAGCGCAAAGAATGGTCTTGATCAGACAATTTCAACAACGGAACAGACAACCTTCCTTGCCTAAAAAAAATAAATAACTCCTCTTTTGGATTTTGAAGAATCCCTTTAAAGGGAATATACAAATAAACAAGAACATAAGCATGGGTTGATCCCCAACATATAAATATGGACCTATACCATGGTTATTTTGGCTTTTCCTATCTTCATGCCCAAATAGATGCTCAGAAAGCATAACGGTAGATGGCATCAGCTACACCATCTTCATCATTGCTGGGACCAATCGCATCAGCCACAGCCTTTGCCTTCTCTGATCCATTACTGAGAGCAATTCCTAGCGAAGCCAACTCAAGCATCTCAACATCATTTTCACCATCACCAATAGCCATTATCTGAAAGTCAATGTGGAATCAGGGGAATTAATGTAACTGCTTCTGTTAACCTTTTTTTTTTCTTGAATGCTAGCAATCAAATTTAAGCATGGTGACCTCAAGAACAGTAACTTGAATATCTAAAAGCAGGCCAAGATCAATCATTGTTAAAGTTCCAAAACATTGACTAATGGCATGACATGGAACAAAGCATACAGCTAGACAAGAAAACTCTGCCCTAAACCATATCAAATCCTGATATGATTTGACAGGTATCCTAGGGAAATGATACTGGATAAATGCTGTACTCCAGTAGTGGCATTACTACCATAATGCATTTATTTTGTATTTTTTTTTATGAATATGCATTTATTTTTTGTTGGATCAGTCATTATCTACAATAATGTTGAAAGATTACCTAGAGATTTATAAGTACCAAGGGTGGTTCATACCTCTTTTGCATTTACATCTAAATGATCAAGCAGCGTTCTTACTCCACTTCCTTTTGAGGTTCCAGGGGGAATAATTTCAAGCATATCAGGCTGTGCTTGGATGACACCAGCACGCCCTTTTGTTGCTTCTGACCAATATGGCCTCAAGGTAGCAGCCACCCCTTCAGTAGTATCTAAGAAAATCAGCTTCTGTGAACCCAAGAAAAGATACTGTAAGTTAATAAAGAAAAGAGATTAGCAGAAGTAAAGAATTATCCATAATCGTGTTGCTCAGATGCTAAATGATGGAGTCAACTGATATGCTCAACTAGGGAATTTTGAAAATACTAGTTACTCTGCTGAAGATGTGCAACTTTTGAGGGGGACAAACCATAGAAAAGCCTCCATGTTGATCAATTGAACTCACTAGGAACAATTTTGAAAATTAAGTAGCACCAGGGTTATGGGCAGTGAGAAACAGCAAATCCCATGGAAAAAGACACTTATGCATTAGGGAACAAATATTTTATGCTTGGACACAAATTTTCCCTTGTCAACAAGACCACAGAGCGTTCTTCTCAATTGCTGGTAATTTAACATAAAGGAAGCATCCAATGAGCTGACAAGTCAACATAAATCTTTAATCTAATTAAAGTAGTTAAATCTATATGAACCCTTTTAATGATAATATGAATTTGAAGTTCAACCAACCAAAGGTGGCTCAGTTAGTAAGTTCTCTGGCTGGTTGTAGTGGAGATTTGAGATCAAATCCCACTGTCACCAGGGGCAACACAACACCCCCATTGTGTAGCCCCATGAAACAACAAGAACAACAACTTTTTACCATATTAGGGCCAACTTGTCTCTACCTGTATCTCAGCAGCAGCTAAAATGTGTTCAACCGAAGGCATAACCTCTGCCTGCAAAGAAACAAACAATTTCATAAGAACCATAGATAATGGGAAAATTTCCCACTAAATATATTAGTGGAAGAAAAAATGGAGTGTATTTTGGTACCTTTGGCTCATGATATACAGAATGAAGAGAGTCAACCAAAGGATGATCAAACAGTGTTAAACAACGATCCTGACTAAATGCAATAAGAGGAATCTTGTTCTCCCATGAGTAAAGAAATGCCTGCAGTTTAGAAAAAATCAAGAAGTTAAGGCAGCATGAAACAAAAGAGGATACTGATAATTCTTTAAGGAACTTCAGTTATACAGAATATTTATAGATATTAGCAAGTAACTTGAGAATTATACATGTTCGAAACTTGAGATAAATAAATGCTATCATCTCTTTGAAAGTAATTCCAACTGAGCAATATCTCATGCTCTTCTTGAAGCCTATTCAACATCTAAGGATCTCTTTTTTCCACACACTAAGACCAAGGATTCTTAATAAGTGTATTTCTAATTCAAATAACTTGTTTTATCCATAAAAAAATTATTTAAGTAACAATATGCTTCGAAGCCTTTCTCATGTAATCAAAGTAATTATAGTACAAACATCAAAATTGGGCACCTCCTTATGGGCAAATAGCATGTCTAGTAATTTGGATCAGTTTGCCCAGGATGATTTTAGGGCTAAGTTGGTACCATGGTAGATCTCTCATTCTGTAACTCCCCCCCCCCCTCTCGATGGGCACCCCCCATCTTTTGAGGGGCTAGCTTTGTTTCTTTAACTCTATTTTCTCCCAAGAAACAAAAGGGGAGGGGGGGGGGTTAGGGGTCATGTGGCAACAGCTGAAGAGGCTGAATTGAATGAGTTATTGCTTTGTCTTTAGTGGATAAATGATCATATACAAAAATATTTAGGGTTATAGTCATCTGCCTAATATTCCATTCAGCCGTTAAGGAACTCACAACTTAATTACTTATAAAGGACAAAGCAACAAGTCATTTAGTTCAGCCACTTCAGTTGTTACCAAGGGGGCTAGCACTATGTGTAGTAGAGTTTACCCATATCCAATGAGTCACATGTGAGTAAACCAAAACTTGAAAGGAATCAAATTTCAACATTGAAATTTCAATATCTAATGCAACCTTATTCATGATTTCTTCATTAGCAGCCAGCAAGATCATTAGGTAATGCCAGATGCCAAAGTAACACAGACAGCCCAGGTGGCAATAACCAGGAAATCTGACAGGATTCCAGCAACAACAGTCCAATGTTAAGCACAAAACAGCATAAAATCCCAACCATCCATGGGCAGAAGTACTACTGCCTGGCATGAAGATATAGAAGGATACAGACAAGACACAGCACCAGGAAAAAAATGAACCAACACCCAGAGAAAGGCAAGCAACACAAGCTCCAGTACAACTGTATCAGAGTATTCTACCATAAATGCTGTACATCAATAAACATCTGGAACAAAGTTTTCCATCAACAGTTGCTACTAGTCTAACACTATGGAAGAAAAAGCAGTTACTAGTTAACATGTTATGCATTTTCTATAAAAATTATTCGGAAGCAACTGATTCAGTTATTTGAATCTCCCATGAGTAAAAAACTACTGGTAGTTTTTCTTGAAACAAGTAGGATACGAAATTATTTAACCACAAAAAATTCTGTTGCCAGTAAGTACTACTAGCCACAGACCAAGTTATAACTTGAAATCAGAAGCACTATTTCGAAACAGAAAGCATCTACCTCTCTACAGACACTAAGGTCCAAATTTCTTCTAGAAATTTCCCGACCTTGTCTACCATAAACAAGCAATCCCTGGAACAGGAATACAAAATAAATGGTAAGAGACAACATCTTGTAAATAAAGTTACCAGAATTCTTTAAAAGAGTAATATATAAGCATTTTCCAATAACATAAATGCATAAGCAAGCATTTGTTGGTTTAAACAGATGTTTCGTTTGGCTTCAATGTGGATAGGGCATAACAAGTATTTACTCACTAAAATGAACATTCTGGGATGATACTATTTGATTGGTAATGACTTCATCAAACAAAAATAAGATACTATTATAACCTATGAATTCTTTTCAGTGCTATACGTTGGCTAGTCAACACTTCACTATCAACGTTCTCTAGAAATTAGCAAAATTTTCTTCACTATAAATCATCAATAATACTGCCAAAGCAAAGTATGAGAATGCCTGCTAAAATAAGTCCAAAGGTGTACAAGCAAAATTTAGAACATGAATGTCCATATGCATATATATCCATTTCTGTTTTGCTTCATTTTATCTGGTGGTAAATGCCAATGAGCTAATTCACGTGTTAAAGGATTAACAAAACAGTATATAAACAAGTAAATAAACCTGTAAGAAAACCCCAGGTGAAAACTCTGAAACAATGCCATCCTTTCCAGCTAAATCTACCATCTTCAAAGCACTTATAACAGCAGGTCGTGTCTGTTTACAAAGATAAAACAAATAAATTGTTACCAGCAGGTCCTACTTCCATTTTCTTTTGCAGGCAACAAGAACACAAAAATGAAATTGCATTCTAAGAAAGTAAGAAGACAATATTGGTCATTTAATGCAGAAGAAATGATAAATTGTTTATGTTGAAATGTGTACAAGCTGTTTAAGAAGACAGATTTTCAACTGAACAAGAGTTAGCACAACCTGTGAAGGCACTTCCACACAACTGACCCCAAGGTTAGTGAACCAAAGTTAAAAAGGGAAGATGCTATTTCTTCTCACCTTCCCAGTGGCTATAACCACTTTTACTCCCATTGATACAGCTTCTTTCAGAGCTTTTGCTGTTGTTGAAGAAACTTGACTTTTACTGTTTAGCAGTGTACCTTATATTTGTATAAAAGAGCAGATATAAGATACTGGGGAATTTCAGGAAGCATTCAACATCATGTTCTGTATAAGCTCACCATCCATGTCACAGAAGATATAGCTGAATTTTGGTCTATAAAATCGCAGACTGCCTTCTCTCTTCCTGTCTTCTAAACGTTTACCTGTAAATATTCTCAAACTGCCAATTTCTTTATAACATCTTATGCCTCTAAAAGTATTCAAGAGTACATGGAACAACATATAGGAATGAAGTTGATATTACGAATTAGGTAAGGAGTGAGCATACCAGCTGAATGTTCTTTTTGCAAACTTCCATTAGTTGCAGCATCATATGCACTCTGAATTAAACCTTTACCCTTCCATCCAAGACTTTTCAAGAGAAGTTCCTCCTCCCTCTCCATTTCTTCTTCTGCCTCATCGCTGATCTCATGATCAAACCCTAAAAGATGTAGCAACCCATGAACCTGCAATAAAGACAACAATTTATGATTCTTCAAGTTATATACAAATATTTCCAGCAAAGGTGAGTCTCATTATCCAGAACCCAATAGATTGCTCCTGATCTTTCTGATTTCCCATGAATCTCTTCTGTTCTACTGTTTCAGTTTCAAGTTTTCAACATGCCTTCAAACAACCGAAAAGGTGAAGGTTGCTGATATTTAGCATGTTTTCATCCACAAAATAAAATTGCAAGATCTCTGTGTGTGTGCACACACACATGCGCACGCATGTAAGGTGGGAAAAATCCTGCAAGATCTTGGTTGCACTTCATTTTATCAATTAATTAAATTGCCAGCACAAGCCCCAAAACTTTCATTTAGTGATAAGAAATCTTTCTCATGAGTATCAACTGTACTTTCATTTTTCCACACCCAGCAATTAGATTCCATATTACTTCATTTTTCCTTTAACACAATTCTTAAGATATCTCACATGAAAGGAATGAGAGAGGGACCTGAACATTTTAGAAAAGGTAATGGCAAAATTGATAAACAAGTTTGACAAAAATGACCTAGAGTGGCATCATATGTGACAAAAATAATTTAATAAGCAAACACAATGTCCTAAAATTGGACAAAATTGGAAATACTGCATAAATAAATGAAATAAACAGCTTGAAAACAACAATAGGAAAGAAAACATAATGAAACACCAACCAAGAGGATGCGTATCTCATCGAGAAGAGTATGTCCTCTTTCCTCTGCTTGTCTTGCAGCTGTCTCAACAGAAATGACTATGTCACCCAACATAAGCTGCAAATGTAGGAAAATTAATTGATGTAGTTAGTCAGGTGGATAAAAAGACAGATTTAGAAAGGGAAGTTGATAAAGAAGTTCAAATTAGTAATATATTGAAATTATTCTTTTTAGATAGTTAGAGAGTGAGAGAGAGAGAGATGGATTTTTAGTTGATAAGAATTATTAAGAGATTTCTATAAGCATATGAGATAGCATGGCCTTCATTTCATGACATTAGAATTGAGGATTTCTGCATTAAAAGGTATGTGTTGTGGGTTATTTTAGTTTATATGACAAAATTGAGAGGAAGGTATGATTACTTTGGTGGGTAAGAGCAGATTGAAGGATGTTGAAAGTTGTTTTGTTTGTGGGCTATCTCTTATCACCTAACCTTTGTACTATCCCTTTTTTATTTTTAATAACTTACTATAGAAAAAATGATAAGCATTTCAGTTAAAAAAATAAATCCTTACAATTGGGAGGTCAAGCCCAGGAATGTGTTGTGACATGGAAAGAACATCAGTAGCATGGTCCTCATCCCTCCAATCTTTATTAAGTTTCCGAATAAACTCATCATTGCAAAGAAGGATTGACAATTCAACATTCTCAAATTCACCAACATCATTTATGCTAGTATCTCTTGTTTTATATACAGAATCTTTTAGACCATCAAATGCCAACTTCATAGCCATAGGAGCATTTAATTTGAGCATTTCTGCAATACTCTGCAAGAATTGAGAAAATAAACATAAAAAAAAATGAACATATTAATCAAAGAAAGACAGAAAATCAACAGAACAAGCAAAGACAAAAACATTCTTCCTCTGGTGTCTCCCTTCCTTCTTGGCACAGAAGAAACAAACAAAACTTATACCTATTCCAAACAGCAAGGTCAGGGATAATTATATAAAGTTTTATCAGTACTAATCATAGCAAAAGAAGTGAAAGAAAATATGTTAACATTTACTTCCTAATATATGAGACGGCAGCTAGATACAGTTCTCCAGTAAACTACAGTAGCTAATTTCTAACAATATATTAGCAGCTTTTAACACTCCAGTTGTTCAGGAAATTGCAATTGGAAAAAGACAATGATCCCAAGGTAGGACCAACATATGAAATTACTTAAAGAATTCCAATATGCTAATGCGTATCTATAATGCATTCAAAACTAATTCAACCACTGCAGACAGAAACATATAATTAGAAGCGTCAGCATCACAAACCTACCCACTTACAAATATAACAGACATCGCCCGGAACCCTCATATTTGTTGTGTGAAAGTATTTATTTCGAGCATCAAAATACATCAAATGAGCAACCAAAACCGCATTTTGGTTCTACTTCTTTTTTCTTTGATGCAACAGTGAGCTTGAAATCCTAAATTTACATGTTTCGTAAAACCATTCACAATTTCCAGATTCGGAAGAATTTCTTCCAACAGTCACCCGACTTCTCTGTATAAAGCCTCGATTAATGCCACAAAAAAAGAGAGAGAGAAAGAGAAAGAAAAGCATGTAGATAAATGACAAACCAATTATTCTTTTTCTATATAGAAGATAAAGGATCATTCATCAGAAGAAAATACAATTACCAGAATTTCAGGATCGTCTGGCAATTCTTCTTCGATACAGATTCTGACATTGAGCTCCAACTGCTTCTCCTTCTTCTTGAACGGCTGACGCCGCACCTTTCTGTACCCTCGCTGCGTAGCAAAATTCCCTCGCAGAGGTCTGGAAGACGTTCCATCTGCTCGACACAAAACATGAAATCTCCGACGAAGAACTAAAGAATCTAAAGAGGAGATAACGGAACGAGTGGTAGAAGGAACAAAATTCGAATGCGATGGGGAACGAAGAGGAAAGCCGTTGTTTGAAGACGATTTAGAGGCGAGAGGAAAGGCACGTAAGAGGACTCGCGCCATTCGGCCGAACAATGGATCAAACACCGGCGGGATGGTTCCCGGCAAGGATTTGGACGGCGAATGGAGTGGTAGGGAGCGAGAGCGATGGAGAGAAGAAAGGCGAGGAGGCATTCAGCTGAAAGGAGAAAAGTCTTGTTTGGGTTATTATTCCGCTTATGGAAAGCGATAGCCACACGAAGATCCCAAGCCCCTCGTGCTTCCTTCAGCTTTCACCAACCACCCAGCACAATGGGGAGATGGGGAGAGATGAATGTGAATGAGCGGCCGAGCGGGTAGACGTAGACTAGAGAGACTAGAGAGGGTGTGGAAGAAAGTCGGAAACTTGTCTCTGCTTTTCTCTGGTCGATCCAGGATTAAACCATACGAGAAACAAACAAACCACTGGATAGAGTATGGTCCGCTCGGTCTTTCCCAACCACTACCTTGCTACGAGGTGTAGTGGGAAGGAGCCCTGTTTGCCTTGGCCCCCCTACCCAAGTTTTCTGGGCTATCAAACTTTGACTTAGACTTAGTCATGTGAGTTGTGACGTGAGCTTTTTTTTTATTATTTATTCCCTCTTTGAATGACTGAGTCCTGTCAAGTTCAATATTTTTGTTTGCCAAAAAAAAGTTAGGGAGAATGACTGATCAGTGCCCACCGTATAGGGATGAATCCTGAGGGTGAATTGATGCCATATTCACGGGCACGATGCGGTTTAGAGAGGCTATTAGTAGATTATTGGGTTGTCATTCAGAATTCTGCATTGGGTTGTATCTAATGGTCCTTTGAGTGGCCATCAGAATAGAATCGGAATCAGAATTGGAATGGTCTATTTTCAAACCTGTTTGGTTTAAATAGGAATTAAAATTAGTGGAGTGGGATCTCAGTCCCAAGGGAGAGGAGGGAATTACCATTCTTTCAAATGGGGAATGCTATTCCACCAGTAATGGGATTTTGGGCTTCTAGTTCTGCCCAACAAAATAGTTGGATGGCCCTAAATTACAATTAGGGGTGGACACAAATCCAACTTTTTTAGAGTTCAGCTTGTGAGAAGCTCAATTTAATTGTCTAAATCAAGTTTTGAGCCAAATTTGACCTCAATATATAGGTTCATTTGTTTATAGAGCCAAGTTCGAGCCCAATGAAGATCATAAACTCATGAATCTCACAAGCCTAATCGAGTTTATGTTATATATAATATTTTTAATTTACATGTTTAGTAATAAATAATTTTTAAATATAGTTTTATATGTATAATAAGAAATATTTGTATGTATATATATAATTGTTTTTATGTATATTTTTTAATATATATATATATATATATAGAGAGAGAGAGAGAGAGATAGAGAGAGAGAGAAGGTTGGAGTAAACCTCGTTACCTAGCCATCTCTCCAAAATGGAGAAAATCTACATGCTCTCCAAATTCCAGGTGATATTATACAAGTTATGGGAAGAAAGGAATCAATGGATCTTTCAAAAGAAAAAAAATCCACCCCTTGAGAATCATTGAATCAGCTTGCTACATCCTCAAAAAATATTCAGAAATAGCAAAAGAAGAGAATAAGCACTCTGACATAAGGTCGAATCTAGTCACTCCCTCATTTAGCTTGTACACAGATGGCCCATTTGATGAAAAATCAGGTCATGCAGGAATTAGATATGTACTCAAGAGCTCAGAATCAAAAGCAATCCTAGAAGTGCAAGGAATAGCATGCAAGCAAATGGGAGCAATGATGTAGAAATTAGAGCTTTAATTCAAGGTTTGGAATCAACAATCTGTCACAATTGCAATCATTTACTGGTCTGCTTAGATACTGAAGGACTTGTTAAGAAACTCAAAAACCATTCTCTTGATCACTCATGAGTGGATCAACTTCACTTGGGTACCATTCAAGCCAAGACAATACTTTTAGTCAATAGAATTTGTATATATTCCTCGTACAAAAAAACAAACTAGCTCACCTCTTAGCATACAAAGTTTGCTTGCATCGAGAAACAGAAAGATACCATGTTCTAGATTATTTTGATGTGCAAGCTTTGAATTGTTAATAGAACAAGAAACTTTACCAGGAAGAAAAAAAGGTTAGCTTACTATTAAGCTCGAGCCAAGCTGAACATGAACATATGAGTTTTTTTCAGTTGAGTTGAATTTTGAGTTCAGCTCAAATAGCTAAATATTTAGGTCGAATTGACTTGAATCCACCCTTAATTATAGCCACCCCTTGTACTATGAGATCAATGACAATTACCCCCTTCGACTTTCATTTGCAACAAATATGTCTGGTTGGTTGTTAAGTTAGATGATGGAACGTATTAAATTATGAAGATACCCCTTGAACTTTTTTATATTCTCTTCTCATCCATTTCCTAATTGAGCCAAAAATAATGATGTTGGTAAGGTGTTGGAACGTATTTGTTGGTTGGTGATTTGGAGTAGGGTTTTGGGGATTGGTGATGAGCTACCCATGTCCTGAATAGATGGATCGTGTCCCCTTCATACTTGCTACTTGTGACATCAAGGCTACAAGTAGACTTCTGGTTGGATTCATGATTAAGTTTCTTGTCGTGCCCCCTTATACTAATCCTTTTGTGGTTAAGGGCACAATTAATAGGTCAATAGCAAGGAAATCTCACATCTTGTAGCAGAAAATTGGGAAGTTATTCAAAGGTTAGAGGTGTTGTTCCCTCCACTGGTCGTTGAAAGCCTCCAGAACGATGTTGGATTTTGGAAAATTAACAGTGATGGTAGTTTTGCAAGCTCAAATGTTTCAGGAATTGATTTTATGATTAGAGACCCTGATGGTTTTTGTTTTTTGTTTTTTGTTTTTTTGGTACTAAATGAATTAAGGTTCATTGATGCTGATCGAATAGGAAAGAGTTTACAAAAGAGATATTGCCATTTCCACCAGAGGGACAAAAAGGGAGGAAGGAGACCTCTCCATACAGCTCTAGCAGGGCACAACGGACTAGCCAGTTTATGGGCTAGAACACTACAAGACCTATGAATATACTTAAACACACAACGTTCAAAACTCCTAGAATTCATAGTAATATCATGCAAGACAGGTTTCAGATAGAAAGGGAGTCAAGTAGTAGACCCTGTAAGTCCGTCAATTAAAAGCTTACAATTCGAGAAGAGACACATTCTGGTACAATCCATTGATTTTGCAAGCTGGAGACCTTCAAGAATAGCTAGAACTTCAGAGAATATAGCAGAGCGAGGCAGGCAAGTCACAATCGTAGCAGCTATGAAACTATTATCAGTACCTAGAATCAGAGCACCAGTACCAACAAAAAAACCTTCAAAAAGTGCCCCATCCACAAAGATCTTTGCAAAACAACTGAGATTCTATTGAGCAGGGCCGGCCACCTGTCTTTGCTTACTGTAAGGAGTTTCCTCTCGTTGGACTAAGAGTTTGGGCATGAGGTCCCTGCACAAACGATGGTAGTAAGAGAGTACAAAATCAGGCGTTTGTACTATCCTCAAATTTCATCAAATTTTCCGATTTCCAGATGGCCTAGACTAACAGAGCAGTGGAGCTTAGAAGTTCCTTTCTATCTTTTTTGGACATGTTAGGCTCAGCTAATAAAATCATCAACCAATCACTAAAGGTTCCTTTGTCAGTCTCCGGGACAGGTTACACCATAGAAGTGAATGCTCAACTGTGTCTATATGTGAATGATAGAGGGAGCAAAGGTTGGAGAGGATTACTCCACATTTCCAGAGGTTCAAGTTTACAAGGAATTTTTCCATGAACAACCCTCCATAAAAAGTGTTTAGCTCTAGGAATGACTGGTAGTCCCCAAATTTCTTTCCAGAGCATTTGGCCTTTTTGGTTTGCCCCGCTTGTACAGTGTACTGACTACATTCCTCTTGTTATCAACCAATGATTTTGCAGTATGGTAAGAAGGAAGCCATTTCTCTCCCAGTTCCAGATGTACTCATCTTTAACATCCCCTTGAGGAATGTAAATTTCCTTGACATCATTGACCATATTATTAGGAAGCCACTCATCTAGAAGTCTAACATTCCAAGTTTTAGAGGTTGGATCAATTACCTCCCAAATTCTACTGAAGGGACAATATAGAGGTTTGTCACAAGGTACTTTGTGATTGTGGCTATTAGGAAGCCATGGGTCATCCCAGAAATTTATGTCCTCCCCATTGCCAACTTGCATAAAAAGGCTTTTCAGTAGAACTTCCTTGCCAGCCATGAGGCTTCTCCACCCCCAAGAACACTTGCTACGAGGTTTGGATTGTAGGAAAGTGTTGTTTCTGCAATATTTTCCAAAGAGAACTTGGCTCAAGAGGGAGTTAGGTTCTGTTAGCACTCTCCGGGCCTGTTTTGCAAGGGGAGCCAGATTGAATGCTTTCGGATCCCTGAACCCCAATCCTCCTTCTCGTTTGGGTTTGCAAAGAAGTTCCCAATTCATCTAGTGAATTTTGTTTTGACTATTTCTCTCTCCCCACCAGAATTTTCTCATAGTTTAGTCAACCCATCACACAAAGATTGGGGTAATAGGAAGCATGACATCACATACACAGGAATAGCTGAAATAACTACTTTGATAAGGATTTCCTTACCAGCCTTGAACAACAATTGTTCCTACTGGGGTGCTGGATCCTGGATGGGGAGCAAGTTGTGTTTTTTTCTCCCTTACTCGCTGAAGTTACTGCTCCTTTTGAAGCTCTTTTATTTGTAGTCAATCATAACCTACAAAATGTTGTGTTTGATTCTTATTGCAGTCAGTTGATATTTGTTTTGAATGAAGTTAAAAATGTTTGCCATGAAGACATTTACTTTTTGCTTAAAGATCCAAAAAGCTTTGTGCTCAGGAAAGAATTTCAAGTTCCTATGGTGTCGCAGGGGGCAAATTCAGTAGCCCATCGTGCAACTTCCCTTGGTTTGAAACTTGAAAGGTATTTTTCAGAGTTTTGAGGCAGTCCCCTTCGGGCTTCCTTCTGCGTTAAATTATGATTTTCCAATGTCTATGTTCTACTCTAGAAAGTCTGATGTAGAGGATTGAAGACTACCCCTTTTGCCAGCCTGGGCCAAACAATTGAATTGTTTGACGACCTAAGATCCGGTTCTAAAACTGGGTTTCAAAATGGTCGGTTCTCCATAATATATTCCATGGAGAATGCCTTCATAAATAACCACATCAATGGATGTTATACCATTTAGTATCAATTAGTTTAGGTTCAATTGACCTAAAATTTTGCTAAACATAGGCTCTATAAACCTTGATTTTTTAAACTACCTTTAAGATTTAAGAAATTAACTAACTATATCTCTACTGTTTTAGTATTGTCTTAAAGTATTTCTATTTTTTATGATAATTGTC